ACAATAAATATGTCTTGCTTTCAATGTTTACTAGAAACTGGAAGAGAAAAATCAGCAGATATCTCACAACCAGTGCAGACATTCTGACTTCACATCACAGTACATTGCTTTGCTCCCTTCAAATCCTGTTTACATGAACAAGGTCAAGGGATGGAACATTAGAGAGCCTATACAGTGATTTCCTGCTGCTGTCGGTAAAAACTACTGAGACATCATCAACTTTCCCTTGTTCTCAGCAGCTTATCAGGGACTGGAGGTTACCAGTGTATTGGCTTACAGACTTAAACAAGGAAAGAAATAGAAAAAAGAAAAAAAAGCCAGCAACCACACCAAAATCCCAGCCTCCTTCAAAACTAAAAGTAAAAATCAGAGGATGAAATAGGAGGAAATAGTCTCAAAGGGAGATTAGTCTTCCAACTTTTGTTTTTCAATAGCTCAGAAAACAAAGCACTATTAAGCTGCTTGACATGCGGAAAAGAAGAGTTGGGGAAAGGCAATATAATGTTTACAGAGTCTTCAATAAGAAAGGAAAGAGAAAAACCCTCAATTCAATGAATATCTACACTGTGTGAAAAAGGCTAAGACATATCTCATTTTAAGTAGTACAATATATGAAGAACCTTACCATCTGAAAAGTCAGGCTGTTTCTTTTTTAGGTACAAATGCAACAGATTTAAATATCTCTGATAGAAATAGGAGACTGGAAAAAATCAGAACTATTTCTAATAATAAGAATATCCATCAACCCATTTTCTGAAATTTTTGTCCTCCCAAATGGTATCTCTCTGTACACCCGATCCACAACATTTCTATCATCTTATTAAGAAAATTAATCTTCATTGGATATAAGATCACAGAAAGTATTCACAGAATTATTTAACTATTACTCAAATAACAGTTAAGCATATATAGCCCGTTTTCACACTGGTTTCAGTAACACACAGGGGAACTCAATAAATGAATGATCAAATCCAAAACTATACTCCTGAAAATAGCAATATACATACAATAATTTTTAACGGTTTTGTAATTATAGTTCAAAGCAAGCAGCTCCAATATTGACATTTACATTAAAGTTTTTCCACTGGCACAATGATCACATTCCCTTCTGTAAATCTACAAAAAAAGGTCGTATCACTTTAGATCTTGGATGAAACAATTTTTTTTCCCCAGCACGTTCAAAAAGAATTGGCCTTACAGTTTAGAAGATAGGACAAGCTGAGAAGATAAGGTGTTTAAAGTAGATTTGAAAACACATAAGGCGGCACTGTAAGTACGGAAGCCATTATGGATTCTTGGCTTTGCTAAAGCAACAAATTAAAATGTCTTCTGAAAACAGTATGCATTCCTTGAAAAGTAGAGTGGGAGAAAGAGGTAAGATCAATCTTTTCTCACACAGATAAAGCTCAAAAAATAAAGCAATGGCTAAAGACTATATAAATATATTTGAATTTGCAATAAAGGTAATAATAGTGTATAAATTTAAACATATATTTTTAAAAATATTTCCCCAGGCAGATTGTCGTGAAGAATAGAGGACAAGGGTACTTAACTGCACCTTAACCTGCATTACTGCATCCACTTTGGGGCTTCTCTACACAGGAAAGACTTTGACATCCCGGAGCAAGTCCGGTGAAGGGCCAGCAAGATGTAAGGAGGCCAGAGCACGTGATATATGAGGAGAGGCTGAGAGAATGGGGTTTGTTCAGCCTTAAGAGAAGGCTCAGGAGAAGGCTCTATATTCTCATCTAACTGGAGAACATAGAGAAGACTGAGCTGGACACTTACTAGTGGATCATTGCGGTAGGATTGGGGCAACATGCAAGTTGGAACATGGGAAATTCCAACTACATTTTGTGAAAAATATTTTCATCACAATATAGTCAAACGCTAGAACAAACTACCCAGAAAGCTTGTGGAATCCCCATTCTTACAGATATTCACAAATCAATTGGACAAGGCCCTTAGCAACCTGATCCAAGTTGACCTTGCTTTAGGTGGGTGGTTGGATGAAATCCCTCCAAACATCCCCTTCAACCTATGCTGTTCTATAATTTCTATTAATAAATCTATACAGAAGAAAGGGAAAGGAGTACCTTTTTGTTCCGTTCCAAGGCTTCTTAGGGGCAGTATTAGTGTATTTCCTATGAAGTATTTCCTATGACTAGTAAGAAGAGACACAGTTCGAATAGCCTGAAGAGATTCTCAATAGGGAGAATACAAAAAGAGCAAAAAGATCGTCACAGAAGAGATAACTGGGGCCGGAGGGGAGGCAGAGAGGGGGTGTCTTTCTCCTATTTCCTGGAGAGGCTTGAGATTTATACAAGTTAGCCCATTTACTGTCAGGAAGCTTGATTATCTTTCAACAAAACGATGCAAGGCTTGGCAGAGACTTCCACTCTCCCTGAAGATCTTTTAGTGAGCTTTTGGGAACTCATCACAGACCCTACAAAAGCTTCAGTGTTTTCATTTGTCCTAGAGAAGCCTGGTCCAGGGACTTGCTGAGGTATATTGCAAATATCATCTGTTGGAAGGACCCTTACAGCCTTGCTGTGTTAAATGCTTGATACATAAAGTCATTGAACAAGAATCCTTAAAGATAGATGAGTGCAGAGTATGTTCTTCCTCTCTGAATTTATTAAAAGGGCAGAAGAGCTATTTAAGCAAAGGCAAAACACTTGAACAAGAATAAACAGGTATACACAGGACATCTGTGAATTAAGCTGGCAGTCTGAACAAAGATTTCCAGTCATCCGAAGAGGAAGACTCTGGAAAAGAGTCCTTCCAGTAGAAGTAGGAGCAAAAGGCCACAAGTGGCTTTAAGATGGGTCTTGATAAAGTTTGCAGAGGAAAACAAAAAACGTACAGGGGATTGCCTTTGATAACTAGCAGAAAAAGAGCAAGCCAGGGTTTGGAATCAGAAAAAGAGAGAATGAGTTGGACATAATGATGATATCAAATTAGAGGAGGAGTTTAAAAAAAAGTGCCACTCACAAGTAAGGATAAATAACATCAAGGGTAAGTTTGGC